GTTTTTGACATGGAAGCCGCTTTCAAATTTCATAACAATGATCGTAAGTCTCAACGAAAAAAAAAATGAAGATCATGGTGGACACATTCCAAGAAATGAATCCGCAGAAGACCACTCCGGTACGGGGAATCGAACCCCGAGCTGCCGCGCAACTTCAAATGAAAGGCGGCAATGTTAGCCGTTACACCATACCGGATGTGATCAACTATCAGATAATAAGTTTCCATTGGTTGCTCTCGGTTCTGTTCTCTCAACTCACACTGCACACTGATTCTGGTCAGCATTCTTGGCATTCTCTGACTCTGCTTGATGTCCTACAATATCAAATACTTATAAAAATCCTATGCCGCGCAGGTTTGGTGACATTTTCGCTCCCCATCGACGTCGCTGCGAGTCTTCTGGATGCTCTTACTAAAAGAACCAGAAACTGGTCCAAAGCTTTTCTGTTCGCATCCCGCGTTTTTCTTACAAGTATCTCGTTTTCAAAGGCAACGGAACATCTGCGCTAGTAGGGGACTTCATAACCTTCCCCATCTTGAATCTGATGCTCCAGAAAACAAGTGAAAGACAATGCCACATTGTATATGACTTTGCATAGTATTGCGGTTGTAAGAAGGATATCAACGGTGAACAAGGCTGATGTTGAGAAGGCCAAAGTACCAATATTTCACGGTCAAGCTCTAGGCATGATTGTCAACAGAGATGAAGAAGAAAATAGTGGCAATTACTGCCAGGGTGGCAGAATCGTTGCAAACTAGTACCGTCCGCAGCATAAATCACCCTGACAGTAGAGAGAAAAATGACGAAAACACTGATCAAAAGGAAATTTCGGCAAAGCGTGTCTGAGACGCGACTCAACGCTTAAGCTCGTCATGACCACACCCCCAGCTAAAGCAAGAGGGGGAAGCTGGAGGGCTTGACTGAGGTGGCTGGTTGGCGACGCGGCTTGGCACCCAGCTCCCAATTGAGCTTCCTCTGTCGTTCTCATGGGTATTGCCTGGATCGAGATTGCTCATCGGAAAATTTTGAGGACCTGCTCCATCCATTTGTGCGCGAGCTCTGGGTCCCTGTATACCGGTCTTGTGAGAAACAGGCAGCACGGTAGAAAACTAGGTAGAACTTACATACGCAGTGAGGCCTCTGTCGCTGTTCAAAGTGTCACCGAAAGTATTCAACGAGAACACACAAAATCACACACTGGATGATAATACCAGGGAGACCTCGCTCCCACTCGAGGCGGTTATCCTGCGCAGATGGCAAACCGGGGTTGCTACAGTATAACACGACGGATGAGAAAATGAAAATCGAAAATCACATGAATCTCACTATCGCTCGGGATTTGCCTACGAAAAATGAGTAGACGTGAGATAGGTCAAATATATCAAGCTTACAGAGGGATGGGTATGGAAAGTCGCCACCATAATATGTCCCTCCAGCACCGCAGTTGTCTCTTCATCAGGATGTGCGAGGTTTATACCAATGCTGCTCATAGGAGGAGGGCGAATAGTTGTCGGACACCCTGTGCGACCTAGTGCAGTGACTCGGCGAACGACAACACTTGCTCGGTCTATCGAGGATAAATGAATATAAAGTAAGCAGTCATTCGCATTGAATACGCACTATTAGGATCCATATAAATCCAACTATTCATATTGGGGGTCAGTGGAGCACCACGAGATTTAATGAATCTAATGCATACCCGCCCTTGTTGGCAGTCAGCCCCAACTCAGATATCGCGAAAGATTGCCAAAACATACCGTTTCTCGCATAGTATTTCCATTTGCTCCTGCATACGTATCTTCCCATGCTCTCTTTTCACGGCCAGGTCAGTGATCGTTGCTCATTTGTAATAAATAAAGACGAGCCACCTGGAACGCTGCTTGAACTTCCGGGATGGCCGCAAGTTGGGCGGCGGTAGGGCCCCGCTCCTGACCAGTTACCCATGCCTGAGCATTGTTCGCTAAACGGAGGATAAC